TAATCTCATATCCATATCTGCGCCATCCATCGAAATATTTCTTTTTTGGTTTTACATCAGTAATCTTTACCAATTTCTAGCAATCAAAACAAATAGCCATATTACCTTATGGATTTTGGGTCTGTAGTATCCATCATATGTCACCTTACCTTCACCAAATCCTGCATAAAAACATTACACATGATAAACACTAATATTTCTCAGCTAACAGTGTTTGTACAATAAATACCTTTTACTCAAATAGCCCATTGCCGTGAAGTTTCACACAATCTATAATGGTAAATCATCATATAGTTTTTCTGTTTTGATTATTTTTTCAAGATCAGTACCATATCTATAATTTCTCATATGCGCTAATATACATCATATCCAAGTCGATTATTAATGGGTTAGGAACAACCTTATTAAATTTTTCACTAAAATGGGTTTGTGGTATGACGTTTATCGTATCGCATGGGGTGATCAACCAAAAAAATATTTTCCAAAACGTGATGTTTAAAGATTATCATTTTATTTATTTACCAAATGGAACATGCATTCATAAAATTTAAAATCACTAGCCCGATATGGGCAAAGCTTTAAAAAATGCTTTATCTGTTATTATAAGCGTAAAATTTTCGTCACACTTAGTAACACTACACTTTAGCGACTACAAACCATACCAAACTATGTATAAAAATAAGAAAATCCAAAGCCCTGATTATATGAGCTTGCAAAACTTGTAAAAAGGTGTTCCAACCCTAAAAGTACATCAAAGATTAAATTTTTAACTGGTTTTCTATTTTTGGGGGGATGAATTTGGAAAGTTGTTCGAAAATGCTAGATGATCTTGATACATGTAATCACGTTTTCGTCTCAACCTTGCATGTTCGACTTTAAGTTCCGTACAGTAGTCTGTTAGCTTGCTCAGTCGATGCTGTAAAATTAAAATGATAAGCACTATAAGATAAATACATTAGCAAGGGGGTAAGTGAAAAACAAACCTCTAGAGTACGTAACATGGTATGAACTGCCTCATACGCAGGTAACTCATTCGCTGAAGCAGGTAATGAAACCTAGTCGATTATACCGAAACGATATATTCCTGTGGTTCGAGCATCCATGGCATATAGACTTAACTGAAGACCTGTGACATAAAACGCGTCTTAGCAAGTTCTCTAAATTTACTCTAAAAATAGAACATTTAAACATTTACCAATCACTTGGCAACCGAACACTATAACTTTCATGTAATTTGTCGGTGTAAGCCGGGGAAGGTTTTCATCACTCTGTTAATCATATCCCTCATGCCGACCATCAACTTTAACTTGTCGGTCCAGATTTTCTTCGGACACCCAGCCGGAAGTCCTCCTGAAACCTCACATATGAACCCTTCCAAAGCAGGACCGGTCGGTAATTCGATAATAATGTCGGTTTTTTGCCCGACACGGGCACGTTCATTGTTGGGGTCTTGGTCTTCCATACGCCTTTCCCGGCTCGCAATCAATTGTAGTTCGGACCTGAAAATCCAAGAATAGAATGTTGCACATTTGATGACTGATATACAAGACAGTAATAAGACGCTTTTTGTAATTTCCAGTATTTTCGGAATTTGTCTTGAAATGGATCAAAAGCGGGGGCTACAAATCGAATCATGAGCTCTCCTTCATTTATGGGTAATTTAAAGTGTTCAAGGTACGATTTCAATATTACGAGATGAGCACTCAATATAGGAAACGTTTGTTGAATTTTTAACTCCTATTCAATAAACGGGCCACATGTTGGACAAGGAAATTAGCAGATTTTCGAATGACCTAGTTACTAGATCAAAAGCAATGGTTAAATGCACGTAAACTATCATTACCTCTATGTTATCAAAAAGTTCTATTTCAGATCGGTTGAGCTCTATCATCTTCCATGCTACGTCTAATCGGAAATCGTTTAATAACTCACCCCATATTTTGATCAGCTTATTCTTCGTCGGTTTGTGCTGTCCAGTCAGATCAAGAATCCCCCAATATGGCGGACTTAAAAAAAGACGATATTCGTGAATTTCCATAATAAGTCTCACCTGCAAAGCTTTACATAAACGCAATACTTACTGAACCTCGGGATTCTTTCTTGGCAAGGAATTGCGCAGAGAACCAAAAATTTTTACAACGTCAATGCCATCATTTTCGAAGGAGTCCCAACTATTAACTACTGGAATTTCGGACTTTGGGCGTGGTGACGCAAGATCATCCTCTCCTCCGATGTAGGTTAAATCCACACTATCTATTAACTTATCGAAATATTCGGGATCTTCAATATAATTATGATGATATGTTTCTTGTTCTTTTGAAGGACTTGACGGAACGGATATTTCATCATTATAATCCAAATTGTTATTTTCATGAGTGATATCATTGGAGCAAGAGAAAAATTCATTAATTTTTTTCTGCCCGTAATTGTCCTAAGGTATTAAAAAAAATACAGGTTATGATCAGAGACTTATCATATTAGAATTCTCAGTCAGAAGATAATTAAAAAAGCTGGAATTAAAAATCACAACTTACCACTTTGTTTCGTACATGCTGTTTGATCCTGCGTTGAATGTTCCGCCTTTGACAAGTCCACTTATATTCACATTATTATTTTCGCCGTCTGTGAATGTTGGCTGGTGAATATGAAGTTGATTACACGAACGGTCAGAGTCCCAATTCCTTGCTAACGCGCGATCGGGTCGAGTATCCTAGCAACAGATTTAAAAATGACTAATATTCACGTTCAATTTTTCAATTTTTCCTATCCCACCAGAATGTCAGATAAGCTTAGAGGTTGTCTGCACTCAAGGTGGGGAAGTACCAGTTCGGCTTAGAGGATTGAACATCAAATAAGCTTTGAGGTTATCCGTGCACCAGTACTACTTCGTGGCTCGGCTTAAAGACTTGAATGGCAGAGGAGCTTAGAGATCCTTGCCATGCCACATATTCCTAATTTACATTTTAACAAAAAAATTACTTACCATCTTATACTGATTGTACAGCTGTCACGTCTTCTGCCCTTCTCAGTATTTATGATGTTTTCAAGAGACGTGAGGTATTGCCCTATCTTATTTCTGAGCGGTTCTATAGTACACTCGTTTAAAAACCCTATAATGCTCCACTCGGAGTAAGTTCGATCGAAATATTCGTGGTTTTCGTAATCTGACATGAGTAAAATATTTCGCGGAAGTTGATAAAGTCGCGTTAGCATAATGGACATTCGATTTTCTAGAGATATTATTGGTTGAAATTTGTGATAATCATTTTTGAAATATCACATAAATGATTATTTTATTGGTCTGAAATTGATCGTCATAATATTTACCAAAAAAAGATAGGCTAATTTTTTGGTTGTAATACTGTTTCAACCTTTATTTAAAATATTTAAAATTATATTTTTCGGCTTTTTTTAATATTTTTTAATAAAATTTTTTTGAATTCTAAATATATATAAATTTAAAAAATTTACTCAATTAAATAAAGAAAAAGCTATAAAACTAATGCATATCAAAAATTATAGTTATCTTCAAATTAATAATCAGTTATGTTTTTTATATTATTTATCAATTGTAGAAGCAAATAGAAGAAGTAAAAATAAAAAAATAAAATAAATAGAATTTAATGATATATATAGAATTATCTTAATTTTAAATTAAATTTTAATAATTGGTCTGATATAAAATAATTTTGATCTTTTAATAAATAAAATAAAAAAGATGCAAAAAGATATAAATAAATATTAAAAAAATACATTCTTCAAATGCTATAATTTCTCAAGTAAAAGTATTAGAATCACATAATCAAACATTTTTTAATACTTTTAGAATATTTAAAAATTATCTTTATAAAGAATTTGCTATAGATTATTTAAAATATAAAACAAATATATTCTTAATTAACTACTTTTATCAAATCTTTAAAAATTTGGAAAAAAGTAAGAAAATTAATAAGAATGAATATTATTTGACAACATTAAATCAAAAAGAATTAAGATGCTTACTTATAGGCAGGGTTGAGAAGTACAGTGTTAGTACAATGATTAGTATAGTTAGTACAGTTAGTACATTATAATAATTAATATAAAAATTAGTACAAGTACAGTACAAGTACAGTGGTAATTTTATCTAGTACATACAAAATTCCCAACCCTGCCTATAGGATATCATATATCTAAATTACTATCTTATAATATATATGATTATTGTAATCAAAGATTTAAATATTTAGATTAAAATATTGATATATAGATATACTTTTCATCACAATTGTTATACAAACGAAATAATAAGTGTAATTATTGTTTAGAATTCTATACAAGGATGTTGTCTTTAATATCAATTCCTATATAAAAAGATTAGAAAGAGATGATAATATTAATAATAGCTTATTAGATAATAAAATATTAGATAATGAAAATAAAGAAGAGGAAGAAGAAGAAGAAATAATAGAAGAAAGAATATTGGTAGACTTTAAAAAGGCTTTATAATTTATAAAAGCTTGGTAAAAAATATTTTAATATACATATATTAATTAATAAAACCTTAAAACTTCAGCTCTCATCTAAATTTCACTAAAGTAAAGATCATTAAATCATTTTTTATCTAAATATAAAGAAAAAACGAATGATATATTAATGCAAAAAAAACTGCGTAATAATAAATTAAATTTTGAAAAAAAATTGCATCTTTTTTTATTACTTTAAATCAATTGATTTTGAATATTACACAATATAAAAAATCAACATTTGATTTTATCACCAGGTGATATAATGAATGTCTATTACACTACTTAGACAAAAATAGGCAGACACCATATTTATTAATTACTCAAAAATGTATATAATAAGTGGAGTCAAAATTTTAACTATTATTAATTAAACCATATACAAAACTAATATTTAGTTAGCCAGCTATTATTCTTAATATATTGTAACCCAAATGATCTTTAGAAAATTAGAAGTGTGACGCAGTAAAGTGATCTGCAAATGATCATCATGTGAATTG